CACACAACGCTCCGGACAAGCGAGGACAAGGCTCTCCCACTGCCGCGATTTCTACACTACGTGTCTTTGTTCCCTTACACTACCTACAGCTTCCTACACCACGCCCTCTTCCTCCGCCTCCTCTTCAGTGTTGGCCTGCACAGTTCACTACTAAGTCAACATTTCATCCGTGTCTTGGCTTCTATTGACACCCATCTCCTGATAATGTTCAGATTTTCATTTGCAGCCTTCACTCATCGCCCACACAGTGCAGCGTGGCTAAGATTTCCAGTCACGGAGCCCAGTGGTCCCAGCACTCAGGAGGCACAGCCAGGTGGATCTCGGTGAGTTCAAGGTCAGCCTGGTCTACACATTTGAGTTCCAGGACAGCCAGGGCTACACAGGGAAACCTCGTCTCTAAAAACCCCAAAAAATTTCCAGTGAAAACACGACAAATGTCTGAAGCTTTATGGACCACATGGTCATTGTCACAGTTATTCAACTCAGCACTACAATAGGGTAATACATAAATCAACAAACATGGTTGTATTTTTTTTTCAGAAGAATTTATATATACTGAATTTTGAATTTCACATAATTTTCACATGCCCAAAAAAACACTATCTTCAATTTTTTTCAACCCTTTAAAAATTCAAAACTTGCTGGGGGGTGGTGGCACACACCTTTAATCCCAGCACTTGGGAGGCAGAGAAAGGTGGATCTCTGTGAGTTAGAGGCCAGTCTGGTCTACAGAGTGCGTTCCAGGGCAGTTAGTTAGCACTATTTCTCAGAAAAACCTTGTCTGGAATGAATGAATGAATGAATAAGTAAGTATATAAAATTAATTAAAGCATTTGAGAGGCAGAGGCAAGTGGACCTCTGACTTCCCAGACAGCCAGGGCTACAGAATAAACCCTGTTTTTGAGGTTGGCCTGGTCTACACAGCTAGTTCCAGGATAGTTTGGGTTACATATAGGACCCTATCTCAAAGGAAAATTTAAACATTAGAGGCTAGCAGGACACCTCAGAGGTTAAGAGCACTTGCTGACAGCCATGGGAACCTGAGTTCAGATCCCAGCTTGTTACCATCCAAGAATCTGGGCCCGAGGCTTGCCCACCACCAACCTAGCTGATGAAGGTGACTTCCAGGTTCAAGGGGAGTCTGTCTCAAAGGGTGAGATAGAAGGGCACGGAAGAGGATCCCTGGTGGTGTCATCAGGTGGGAACCAGCACACACCAGCCAGGTGTAGTGGTCATGCCTACAATTTCAGTGCTGAGGGTCTGAGGTAGGAGCATCGCAACTTCAAGGGCCTGGACAGAGCTACACAGGGAGTTTGAGACCAAGTCCCTGGGCTACACACAGATAACTCATATATATACAGAGTAGGTAACTCTATAAAATAAAGAAATGTCACCATATCTAACAACTTCTTGAACATCAACTTTTATGTCTTCCCAGAATGTCCAAATGTCAAAGGGTGAACACATAATCTTTCTACCAGTGTTCACTTTATTATCAGCCATGTAGAGCTTTTATTCACTCACTTTACTAACTGTTAAAATTTATAAATATACAAATATAAGACCCTCTTTCTACAGGGTCTTAATCTGCAGCCCAGGCCAGCCTCAAAATCCTCATGCCTTACTTAGCCTCTTAAATAGAAAACAGGGAGATCACAGGCACACTCCACCATATCCAGCTAAGTCATTATCTTTAAAAAAAAAAAAAAAAAATGTTCTCGGGGCTGGGAAGATGGCTTGGAGGACAAAGCACAAGCTGGGAGCCAGAGTTCTAACTCCCAGTGTGCACAGATGAAGACGGGGTCCTGACTCCCACAGTGTGCACAGAAAACAGGTTCCAGGAGCAGGCTGGCTAGCTAGATTACCCACATCAACGCTGGGATCAACTGAGAACCCCTACCTCAGTGAGGAACGTGGGACGTGACCGAGGGAGACTCCTAATATCAGCCTGGACCATTTATGCTCACACAACAAGCCCCCACACACTCCAACATACACGCACGCACGCACACCACACAGCCACGTACAAAATAAATGAATGTGTCTTGTGGCTCAGTTCTGTTCCAGATCCCATTTAAGAATTGTCAGACAGACAGTTCGTCCTCGTGTCTCCATAATTCCTAAACCCTCTCCTAACCACTTCTAACTAGTATTCACGGAAGGCCTCACATGAGTTGCACTCACCCCTTTAAAGGCATGGGATCTGGTTGGCATGCATGCTGTGCACCAGAGGCAGAAGAGGGCAGCAGATCCTCTGGCTTCAGAGTTAGTGTGAGGGCCCCGTGTGAGGCTGGGAACTGAACACGGGGCCTCTGGAAGAGCAGCCAGTGCCCTGAAGGGCTGAGGCCCCACTCCAGCCCCAGAAGGGCCGATTTTTAACAGGGAGCACTGGGTGAGATGTTCACTTTAACCTACCATCTCATTTTAGACCTTAAAGACTAAACCCGTCAGCCAAAGCTCAGCTCTCCACTATCAGAAAACTTTGGCACAGTCCCCCACTCATCAATACTCTAAGAAGCAGGGGGCCAGCCAGGTGACTCATGGGCAGAGGTATTTATTCCCCCAGGCCTGACTCCCAGAGCCCACTTGATGGAGCTGTGTCCAGAAGTTGTCCTTTGACCTCCACACGTCCTTTGCATGTCAACCCGACTACACATACATACGCGCAGGGGTTTGAAAAGGTGAAATATGGTGTGTGTGTGTGCGTATACTTTTTTCTTTGAGGAAATTGAAGGCCTGGCAGGATGGCTCATGGTAAACCAAATCCAGCACTAAAGAGACCAAGGCAGGATGACTGCTTGAAGAATTCCAGGCCAGGCTTTTCTGTTAGTGAATTTAAGGCAAGCCTGGGCCACGGAGAACCCACCATGGAAATACTAGTTTAGCGGAGGCCACACTTCCTATCCGCTCCTAAAACCGCTGTGAAGAGTGGAGACCTTTTACTCGTGTTTGGTTTGCAATTGTGAGACGGCTCCTTCTGTAGCCCAGGCTAGCCTTGAACTGAGGTCGCCAGTGCTGGGGTTAAAGGCACAAACCAGCCCCCAGCTCACCCCATGAGTTAAGATTTGAGGCTGTCAAACTCGGGGCTCAGTCTGACCCCCCCCCGCCCCGCTCCTGCCCCCCCGGCCCCGCTCCTGCCCCCCCGGCCCCGCTCCTGCCCCCCTCCCGCCCCCGCTCCTGCCCCCCCCCCGGCCCCGCTCCTGCCCCCCCCTCTCCTGCCCCCCCGGGCCCGCTCCTGCCCCCCCGGCCCCCGCTCCTGCCCCCCCGGCCCCGCTCCTGCCCCCCCCGGCCCCGCTCCTGCCCCCCCCCCAGCCCCGCTCCTGCCCCCCCCAGCCCCGCTCCTGCCCCCCCCGCCCCCCGCTCCTGCCCCCCCCCGGCCCCGCTCCCTGCCCCCCCCCCGCCCCGCTCCTGCCCCCCGGCCCCGCTCCTGCCCCCCGGCCCCCGCTCCTGCCCCCGGGCTTGCCCTTGCCTGGCGGCCGCCCGGGGCTGCCGCTGCCGCTGCTGCTGCTCCTGTCGGCCGCGGCGCCCTCCGTGCTGGGCCGGGACGCCGAGGCCCAGGCCGAGGGCCGTGCGCGCGGGGTCCGGCGCGGGGACGCGGAGGCGGCGGCGGTGGAGGAGGAGGCGGCGGTGGAGGAGGAGGAGGAGGCGGTGGAGGAGGAGGAGGCGGCGGTGGAGGCGATGGTGGAGGAGGAGGAGGAGGCGCCCGGCCGCAGCATCCCCGCCCCGCCCGGCTCGACGGCGAGCCCGAGCCCGAGCCCGAAAAGGCGGGACGGCAGGCGCAGGCGCAGTGCGCTCAGGGCGGGAGGACGCAGCGCGCAGGCGCCGGCCCTCGCCACCCAGCCTGGCTGGTGCGGGAAAGCTCATGCTGTTCGGAAGAGCAGGTCCAGCAGTTCAAGGCCCAGCAGTGACCAACAGCCTGGGATGTCAGTTGTCACAACAGCGAAAGTTATTTAATACCCAAGCACTCTGAGGGGACCTCGCTGAGCACCCACGGTTTTGCACACGCATGCCTCACAATCACACCCCAACACTTACCCTGAGGTTTAGTTCATCACCGTGTGCCTAGAACCCAAGGATGGAGGTACACATGGCTGTGTCGACCAGACACAGAGCACGCGGATAGTAAAGTCTGCAGTTACCGATCCTGACTTCTAGAACTGTACTTTTAAAGTTTTAACACAGCTTTGCACTTAACCTTTGGAACACTCACTCAGTCACTGCCAACTTCCAGATGACAGAATGTTCTCTGTGTACCGGTTTGAGGCTTTTTTACCTGAATGCTTATGCAGTGCAAGGCACTGTGCTTGCTGCTGTGTGACTGAAGTTTCATTGCAATCCAGATGTTAGAACTCAGCTACCTCTCTAGCAACATGCCTGTGGGCCACCATGCTAGTAAACCTCAGAAACCAAGCCCCAGCTAAAGGCTTTCTTTTGAGCTGTGAAACACACCTGGACACTAACCTGAAGATCAGGTGTGTGCCTTTGACAGGCTACAAGCTTTGAAAGCAGGCGGATGCCTGGAACCCTAGAAGCAGGTATGTAATGCACTAAATCCAAATTTATACCAATAGTTCACCTAATCTGTAACCAATCCACACCAATCACATTCAAAGGCAATAATCTCAAGTGTCCAATGAGCCTCCAGGTTTAACTCAAACACAGGGGCCCAACAGACCCAAGAAACAATTCCACCTAAACCCATCAAGTAAGAGAATTTATTAAGAATGATTTCCAGGTGGTGCCACACACCTTTAATCCCAGCACTTGGGAGGCAAAGTTTATCTGTGAGTTCAAGGCCAGCCTGGTCTAGAGAGCTAGTCTCAAGATGGCTACATAGAGAAACCCCAGGGGGAGGTCCCTCAAAAATTCACCCACAGCCCCACTCAATAACCCTCCCAGTCAGCTGTTTACAGTACCACCTTGGAGATAATCCCTTTGAACCTTTCATCTCCAAAAGGGTTATCTGAACGCTATAAAGAAACAGCTACATGCACAGCCACTCAATTTTATAAATCTTTTAATTTAAATCCCGAGTTTTACACATTTGCATCAGTTAACAAATCATTTTCCATCACAATTGTTACAGATCAAGAGGATACAGGGAGGCAACGATAAAATCTAGCACTTTCCAGTTTGCTGTTATGGAGACATCAGAAACAAACTTCAAGTAGAAACAAAAACTGTACTTAGAGTACTATAATACTTATTTTACAATACATTTAATTATATAATTTATCTTTAACATGATATACACAGTATTAACAGTCACCTCTAGGCTTGGCACACACTGAGTGCAGCGGTGCCCTGCCTGACTAGGGCACCAGTTCCGGCTGGACATTCACCCTCTGAAGCACTTCTTCAGGCATGCAAAAGACAGGGCTGACCGGCTTAATCTCCTCCTCTCCCAGAAGTGACAATCCAGCAATGCCAAACAAGGTATGAAAAGGATCCACCTGGGGCATGTTAACACAGTTAAAAGGTCAATAATGTATCCATGGAATCAAGTTTACTCATTTTTGTACAGAGCTCTAACAAGTTTTCTGAAAGACTCCACACCTCACAAACAGCATTATTGTAGTCATTTCGATAAGCTCCAGCCTTTATGTTACACATTAACAAAAGCTCGCAAAGCGAACTTGGGACTGTGACATATAAAGCAATTTCACAGGCCCGGAACCAGAGAAGCCAACGAGCACTGCCGAGCTGCAAACCACAGAACTGTACTTGCCATATCTCCTGGTCTGTCTGCGAAGCCGCCCGTCTCTTCATCTTGGCATGCTAAGATGAAGCTGCGCAGTTTGTCTCTGTCAATCCAGTGAAGCCTCCCAATTATCTTCAGGGAGGCCAGAACCCACCAGGAATAGCACACATCCGGTAACTAGAAGGGAGGGGAGCAGACACAGGCTGTTGGCACTATTACTGCCCAGATCATAAAAACCCGGGAATGAGTATTGGCCAGGTTGAAATCACTTTCCACACTCCTCCTCAGTACTAGGTGGCAAACACATTAATCTAACCGTCATAGCTTGCTCAGTTTTCAGCTGAGGATTAGTGCAGACTTACTTATGAAACCTGTAAGACAGGATTTTCCTTCCAGACACAGGTTTTTTAACTAGTGCTGTCCAGGTAGATACACCTGAGAATCCTTCAGCCACAATCTGCATTTTACTGAGCTCCGTGACTAATAGGCACATTAAGATATCATTTCCCCACAGCAAACACATTACATGGCTACAAAATGCGCTGCAAAAATAAGAATCTTTCTCTCAGATTTCAGTGTCTGCAGAAGCTTTGGGATGGGATCTCTAACACACTTTACTTCAAGTTAAAAAAAAATTCTCTTTTTGCTGTGCCTATGGTAAAGTTATGTCTAGCATGCATGTTACCTGATCAGCCTAGATTCAGATCCCTGGCTACAGTAGGGCTCCCTAAACAAACCAGACTAGCTCCAAATTTACCAAGATCTCGTGCTGGTGCCTTCCAGGTCATGTGATTCAATTAAGCGCTGAGCCGACACCAGCATCATTTTTTAAGCACACCATGGCAGAAAATGCACTAAGAGTACTGGACATTCCCCAAGCCTGAAAATGCACTGAGCCAAGAAGAAATTTTTATATGACCATTCACTCTCATAAAAGCTCAGTCTCAAATTAAGCGCGTCTCAAGCACAGGACACCCAGTGGAGGTTGTAACGGAGGGCCATTACAATATCACCATACCTTCTCAGGTCTTCCGTTGAGCCCGCCTGAGGGCAACTGTCGTTCACAAAGCCACCAACCAAGCAAGTCCGAGTTCACTTGATGTAACTGACTAGTTATGGCCAGGAATCCTGTGCAACAATAGATCTAAAATTACAGACATAAAGTACACAGGTATAATTCAATAGTGAGTGGCAAACACTACCAAAAACTATTAAGACTCCATCTTGTATCAGGTTATTAGGATTCAATGTCTCAGTGAAATTCTATGCCTAAAATACAACTTACAAAATACTTCTGAACAAGCAAATATATGCTAAGGTGGACACAGGGGATTAGGTTAGAATGTTCTCACTGTGTGATTAAAGTTAGTCGTATGTGGAGAGCCATGTCTGCAATCCCAGACAGGAAGGAATGCATCAGAGGACGGAAGCTGTGCACACACCAGAAACCAAGGTCCTCACCTAACAAGGCACAGTCATTACAACACAACTTTCATGTTTCACTATCGATACATCTTAATAGCAAAATTACCTGCCCAGCATGAGATTCGGAGCCCGGTCTGCACCCAAATCCACCATCAAAGTTCATACAGGACAAGACAAATTCAATCGCCTTTTCCACATTAATAGCATCAAGCTTGCCCTACAAAAAGAAATAAAACCTATTACAACTACCCAGAGCACTCACCAGTGCTTAATTAATTAGGCCCGTCAATGCCACCACAGCTTACCAAGAGAGCCAAAGTCGCCACCGCACAAAAGGAGAACCTGGTGTCAATCTCTCCTAAAAGACAAAAAAAAGGCCAAGGTGGTCATGCAAGTGCCACAAATTTCCAACGGACAGTTTCATTTAACTCCCCAAAGCAGGCTAACTTACATAAGGAAATCAGCTAGGAAAAAAATAGCTTAGAGGCCCAAAAAGGGAAGGAACCTACAAACTATATTCAAACCGACACCCTACCTTATTTATAATTATAATAGTTTCACATCCCACAAAGCAGCTGGTCTCAGGCCTGCATTTTGACCCACCCCAGAACAAATCATCTATATTGGTCCTAATGAATTTTCTTTCCATCTCCCAACTCAGTATTTAGTGATTTGATAAACAAGGACTTCCTCTTTTCAGGGTGTTTAGCTACCAAATATCGGGGATAAAACTTGAACCTACCTTATCTTTTAGTGTGGTGTGCTGATAAGCCATGCTGGGACTTCCAGCAGGCTATCTATTCCAGTTAGACCAACTGCTTAGTGGGACCTGAAAAGATGAACAGCTTGAAATCTTAGGATCACTACCAAAATAAAGACTTTCTGAGTATGGAAGAGCTGACTACAAACCCGCCTTACCCCAAATGTCTCCAGCAAACGAACCGTCTTCTTTCTGCAGACTCTGAACATAGGCCACCACTTTGTCTACATCGATGACATCAATGCTGTCATACAGAGTAAGAATCTGGAAGACAAGTATGGCCGATCTAAGTCACCAATTACGCCTTCCCATGCTTCCTACAGACTTCTCAAATGCATACATAAACCTTTGACAACCCTAAAATCAACCAAATTCAGTTACGAAGACGAAACTGCCCTCCAAGGTCTCAGCATCATGAGAGTTTGCATCACATCAGCATTCAGCTAATACATGCCAGGACATCACTGACCTTGTAGGACGGACCTCCCTCCAAAGCACAATAGATACTGACTCTACCAGCCTCCAAGCCCCCAGATGGAGCCACCAGCGCCTACCTGGACAGCACTGAGGGTGTAGAGAAGGTGTGGATCGTGCCCAATGCTAGCGCTTATCCCCCCACACTCATGCTGGCAAGACTTGATAAAAGCCAGTATTTCTTCTCTGTTCATTCGATGAAGTTGTCCCATGAGATCCATCACTGTCAGGCCCCAATAGATGCCGCTCATTCTCAAGTATTCAGACATACAGTATTCCTAGGAGAAATTTCTAGTTTGTCAATCTCAACTCAGGAAAGGCCATCTCACACACAACCAGGACCGACTTTAAACGAGGGTCCAGAGTCTCCCAAATGCCAAACCCAGGGTGGCTTAAAAGCCCGTGTAGAGTTCACAGGAAGCCCAGAGGACATTTAGGCCTATTTAAATCCTCCTAGTGTTAGGGCCTAGAGTTATGGAAATAGCTAAGTAGCATGTGTTTACCAATGCCTCATGCTCTCTAAGACCCAGATAAACGGCTGCTGAATATAAATATTTTATAGAAATGATGCCTCCTCTTTGGAGGTTTCCCTATTTAGCATGGGCTTTCTCCTCCCCCCAAGGGACCCTGCTCAGCCCCTTGGTGCTGAGGTCACAGGGGTGTGGTAATATCCAACCTTTTCTGCTTACATTTCCCCAGGTACTATTGAGTTCAGGCATAACCTTTCCAAGGTCTCAGCGTAATTCTAGAGCTAAAGTGTTATTACACATCAGCAAAATTCAGATAATACATGCCAACACATCATCGACCTTAAAGGTTGTACCCCAGCCAGAAAGGAGCAGAGCCCTCCTGCCTGCAAACCCTAACCCACTTCAGAAATGTCTCTTTATGCACCAGCCGAGCCTCGGCTGCCACCAACTATCAACCTTTGATATACGAGGCACACCTGTCATGCCGGACACTAGTTACAGCGGTCAGAACTTTCCAACACAAAAATCATACATACATAATCATCCTTCTTCGAGCCGTAGGAGGCAATATAATCGGCGTGTTTCTCCAGCAACAGGGTGTCAGGTGCATCGGCCTTGATAGTAACATCCTTCTGCGGTGTGCCCTGGCAGCAAGAGAGCAGAGTTCACCGTCACTTACAAGGCCTTGCCATCCCAGACCCAAACGCGTAACCGGCATCTTTCAGGTCTCAGAGTAATTCTAGAGCTAAAGTGGTTAATAATCAACTTTAGATTCAGAATACATGCCAGCTCATCATTGACCTTAGATTTCCGTTTCCGCGCTCGCCTGGAAATTGCGCCTCCCGACAGGAGACAGGTTCCGGGTTTCAGAGCGCCTTCCTCCAGCCCTCAGACATTACCGTCACCGTAAAAAGTAAAAGCAGGCTACCTCCCTATCAATCGGCAGCAGGCCCCGCCAATGACCACAACTGATCCGCCGGGATGGGACTGAAGGAGCGGGCCAAGGCTGGCTCTCGTCCACCCCAGTTAAAGCGCGGGACTTAGAAAACAGCATCCTTAACCATGATCAGGCATCCATTATGTTACAAGTCTTTGCAAAAAAAAAAAATTATTTCTTATTTTTCAAAATCACGTGTGCGCCCAAGTCTCTGCTGCAGAGAAAGCCATCAATCGGGCGGCCCAACAGAGAGGCTCGCGCGGAGGAGCCTCGGGAAACGCTGGGCCGTCCCAGCCCGCCCTCAGGAGCCCGAGGCAGGGGCATGGCTGGCAGCTCCAGGCCGCGGGGCGCAAGCAGAGTCGGCCCCGCCCGCCCGCCCGCCTCTCACCATGTGCGCCCGCCCGCCCGCCTCTCACCATGTCCGCCCGCGCCCGCCCGCCCGCCTCTCACCATGTCCGCTCGCCGAAAGGCAGCCGCTCGCCCGAGCACCGCAAGTCAGGGCCCGCGCGCCTGCGCACACGCGCCCGCCCGCCGGCCACGCCCAGCCCAGCCCGGCCCGCAGGACCCCGCAGCCACGATTTAGCCGGTCGCACTGCTGCCTGAAGGACTCCGCGGTCACGACGTAGCCGGCCACGCTTCCGCCTGAAGGACCCCGTGGCTGCCCCGGCTGGCGCGCGGCGTGCGAGCCCTGGGGTCCGCGCCTGCTGCGCGTCACCGAGTTCTGCTGCAGGCCTGTGGAGGCGGGAGCATCTGCAGTTCAAATCCCCAGACGCGCTAGCACTTGGAGGCCAGGTTCCCTGGAAATAACAACAACAACTAGTACATCTGTTACCCAGTTATTCAAAAACTGCCACATATGTTGCTATGGAAAGGTGCTTAAAAGGCGTGAACATGAATGCTTTTAAAGTGCGCTAGCCCTTGGGTTTGAGCCCTGGACCTACGAAAATAAGGGTTACATTTCTCTCTTGGTATGTTTCAACCTCTTGTATTCACCCTTTTTCCCCCTTTTTTAAGGTCCTGCGAAGGATAAGCTAGCGCCCTCCCCCCACACCCCGCCGCTGCAGCAACCCTAATTTGTAATTCATCTGTCTCCAAAGCCGAAATGTCACGTGAGGGATTTGAAAGTGGCCAACCCAACCTGGAAAACGCCGTAGCTGACAAACACGACTTGTGTGACATACTTACTGCTCGTTTTAAAGTTTGTTGACCGCCTTCTAAATATCTATGTAATACCCACGTACGAAGGCGACTCCTCGGCTTAATCAGAAGCCTTCCTGTTCGGCGAGCAATGGCGAAAGCAGACTCTTGGCTGCCCAAGGTTCTAACTCTAGCCAGGACAAGCGCCCTCTAGTGCTTAGTGAACACGGTGGAAGAGGTCGGAAGGCTGCGAGGCCGTGTTCTCAGCTGTGTTTGTCTGCACTGGGCTTGCACGCTGGCCTTGTCAACACTCAGCCACGGATGGGTAGGGACCCCTGCCTGCCCCTGCCTGCTGAGCTATTGGGCACAGACACAGAGTGGGCAAGGAGGGGTCACTGTCATCAGTTGTGTGTCCAGCACACCAGGCATCAGTGGATTGCTCCAAAGCCATGGTCACACAAAAAGGCGTGAGAAAAATAAGAAAGGGTTTGAAGCGAGCATGTACATACATGAAATGGCCAAAGAACAAAACCGAGAAACCATGCCGGCTGAGATGATATTTTGGATATACTGAATTAAAATATATTTTAAAATTAATTTTGCCCGGCGGCGGTGGTGGTGGTGGTGGTGGTGGTGGTGGTGCACGCCTTTAATCCCAGCACTCGGGAGGCAGAGGCAGGCAGATCTCTGTGAGTCTGACACCAGCCTGGTCTACAAGAGCTAGTTGCAGGACAGGCTCCAAAGACACAGAGAAACCCTGTCTCAAAAAACAATAAACAAAAATTGATTTCATCTATTTTCACTTTTTAAAATGTGACTTAGTAAATTTAAAACACTCTGTAGGAATCACATCATACTGTTAATGTTTAATGGCTGTCTATCTGTTTTGTTAAGCCCAGAGACATGCCTGCCACTGTGCAAATGATAACAGCTTCTCAAGCTTGACAGGGTAGAAAATGCCTACAATCACAAGACCTGGAAAGCTGAGACAGGAGGGATCACAAATTCGATGCCAGCCTGGGCTACTTGGTCAGCTTCAGGCTAGCTTGGGCTACATAGTGTGACTCCACCCCAAAAAGCAAAGGACAGAAGTAGTTTCTGTTACTAACAATGTTTTATAAAGATGTATTTGTTTTCATTTAGCGTTGAGGGTTTGCCTGCATGTATGTGTGTGCCTGGTGCCTGAAAAGGGCTGGGGAGGATGGGAGGTTCCCAGGGTCTGGGATTACACGAAGTTGTGAGTTGCTATGTGGGCGCTAGGAGCTGGACCCAGATCCTCTGCAGGAAGAGATTGCTGCTCTTAACCACAGGGTGACTGACCTCTCCAGCCTGTGAATTTCTGGAACCATAAACCTAGCCCACTAGCATTTGGTATAATTCGTCCCTAGTCAGCCTTAACATGTTGACTGTATCATTCCATGGGGCAATACCTCAATTCATCTATGCCGTCAATTGCAAGACACAGTTGCATTGCAAAGATGAGAAATGTGAAGAGTAGCCAGCATCTTTGTTTATCCAGAATCTGGGATGTTACTATGGAAAGGTGTGTTTTTCCAGGCCAATGAATGGGATAAATGTGGAATGATTATTGAAGTAGTGCATTGAAAATCCTGCTCTCAAGCACTGGAGAGGTAGACGCCCCAGGAGAACACTTACTTGGTTAGTGTGAGATCCTCGGCACAATCCCCAGCACTTAAAGGAAAAAGCTAAGTGCTTCGCGGTTTCTGATTCCTTTATCTCATCATTTTTCATTCATTTTAAACAGAGGGAAATGGTGAAGGCTCACCTTGTTCGTCAGTTTTACTGGATTAGAAATCGACTGTGCGATAGCCCTGGTCACTCCTGGGAGGGGTTTTCATACTTGGGTTATTGGGAAGATGCACACACCAAGTGTGGAAGATAGCTTCCAGTGGTGACCCAGATAAACGGGAGCTGCCGCCACACTCCTCCACTGATGCCAGAATCCAGCTCCTAACGCAGAGTGAAGATCCCAGAACTGCAGGAATGCTTCAGGATTTCCGGGTGAAGAAGCCAAGGTTGGAACCCAGAGCATACCACGTAAGTCAATCTAAGAAATTCTCTTAGTATGTATCCAAAGAACCCTGATTTCTATGAAAACATTTTTGTGCATGTGTGTACACATGTGTACATTGTGTGTGTGTATTTAGACCATTTTATGTTTAGATTTCAGTTTTTTTCTTTATGTGTATCAATGCTTGCCGGAATGTACATATCTATACCGTGTGCATACAGTACCCACAGAGACCACAAGAGGGCAGTAGTTCCCCTGGGACTGGGGTCACAGGCAACTGAATATTGTGAGTGCTGGGTATTGAACTCAGGGTCCTCTGGAAGAGCAGCGAGTGCTCTTAAATGCTGAGTCATCTCTCCTTGACTGTAATTTTTAATGGATTCACTTTGCGTTTGTATGTATCATGTGCTTTGCCACCCTAGATGGACTCACCTTCAAACCTTGCTACAGATCAGTACCGCCAGCCCTACTTAGGGCAACCGTTGTCCTTGCCTGGCTTTCTGGAAGAAGTTCAGAAGGCTCAGACACAGAAGGCTCAGACACAGCTCAAACGTTAACCCCCATGTGGCAATGACTAGGACAGTGTTCAGGGTCCATTGACCGTCGCAGAAATCAGTTCTCTCCTAGGTGTGGGGTGCCTGATGGACTTGGTTAGTTTGTATTTGCGTGTCTGTGAGCCCTGATAAATCAAGAATGTGTGTGCACTGGGAAGAACAGCCCCACAAGCAGTGAGATCTGAGAGGTTGACTTTTGACCTGAACAGGCTGTAGATCTAAAACACCGTGGCTGCTGATTGCATACTTTAGAGCAGATTGATGGATTTATTAGTCAGCCTCACAATAGGAATCTCTGATTTGTAGAGGGAAATAAGGATATCTATTAAAGAAAGCCCCAAACTTGCAGAATTGTAAATACTAATTTCTAACCCGGCCGTGCCGGTGCCAGCATGTTATCCTAGCTCACAGGAGGGCCACAAAGTTTGAGGGCTGCCTGGGCTGCGTAGTGACATTCTGTTTCAGAAAAGCAGGTCTTCTGAAGAAGCTACATTTAAAAGGAGAAAAGTGTTCTCATAGAAATTCCCAGCTCATAGTGGTCTTTTAAACATCCACACGAGGAGGGACACCCCTTTAATTGTAGGACACGGGAGGCGAGGGGTCTCTATGAGGCGCAGGCTAGTCTGGCCTACACAGTCAGTTCCAGGCAATCCAGGATTATATAGTGAGACCCTGTCTCAAAAAGTAAAAAACAAGAACAAAAGATACCAAATGAACAATTTGCTAAACTTCTGTTTGTTTTGTTTTTGTTTTTTGAGACAGGGTTTCTTCTGTAGGTTTTCTAGACTGTCGTGGAACCAACTCTCTTTGAAGACCAGGCTGGGCCTGCCTCTGCCTCCCAAGTGCTGGGATTAAAGGCGTGCGCCGCCACTACCCAGCAATTTGCTAAACTTTTGATTGGCTTTACTGGTGTTAAGCTTCACACAAATCATGTTATAAACTACATGCTTGTGTATGCTCATAACAGATCTTAAATCTGATCCCCATTGTGAGCGTTGATGGGAGATAACCTTTGAGAGTTTATTGTCCTGAACTGGGCCCTGACGGGTAGGATGAGTGCCCTGGCAGAGGCCAGCACCCACCTGGTCCTTTCTGCCTTGGAAGGGCATTACAAGCCAGTGGCCGAAGGCCACACGCCAGCCACACTGACAGCCCGGTCTTGGGATTACAGCGCCCGGCGGTGAGGGAAGTACTTTGCTTTTGTTGATAAGCACTCTGATATGACAACTCAAGCTAAGGTGTGTATTGCTACTGGATATAATTAGGGGTGTGTGTGCTAAGTATCATAACCAAGATCTTAAACACACATGCAAAGCACACATTCCACCATTATCATAGTAGTAATTTTAAAACATGTGCTGTGTTTTTTTTTAATTTTATGTGCATGAATGTTTTTCCTGCATGTATATATGTATGTATGTATGTACTACGTGCGTACATATGGATGTAGGTATGTATGTATGTATGTATGTATGTATGTGCGCACGCACGCATCCCTGGTGCTCAGAGGCCAGAAGAGAGCACTGGGTCCCCCTGGAGCAGGAGGGATGGGTAGTTGTGAGCCACAGTGGACCTTCTCAAGAGCAAGTGCTCTTAACTGCCCCGTTTTCTTTCTGTTTTTTCTTGCTGTGTCAAGTTTGCCTCAGATTCATAACCCTTCAGCCTTAGTAACGTTGGGATACTAGGTATGTGCCATTGTGTCTAGCTCTTTTTTTTTTTTTAAACCAAAGGTATATTCCTAAGTTGTATTCTTTATAAGCATGAACGCATGTAAGTAGGGTGTTTTCCAGAGCTCTGAGCCCTCTGCTTATTAGTAACGCTGGAGTCATGGTAACACCTGAATTTGTAGCTTCGTTGGACAGAGCATAGTACCCTAAAGACCCAGAATGTGTGAAATAGTATAGTTTTCTCTTAGCCTTTTTTCTCGTTGCTGTGAAAAAATACCTCAACAAAAGCAACATAAGGAACTGTTTATTTTGGCTCATGGAAGGGCCCTGGTCTGTCAGAACATTGGGTGACATAGGCAAGAATCAGAAAACATCCCCACCTTGCTGAATTTACGTTTGTAGTACTTAATACCAAATTTACAAATGTGGCTGTCACTCCATGTTTATATACTCTGGTGTTCAGTGGTAAGTCCTGCACACAGGCGCAGGACACCATGGAATAGCATGGGGCTCATTCTATTTCAGTTCCTTTTTAAAGTCACGTGTGTGAAACACAGCCGTGTACAGTAGCCCAAAGGGTTTACACACCGTAAAAGTCACAGAAAAATAACTTAAGGTTAGCTTTATTGAATTATTTTAAAAGAAACAAGTGAAATGTTGGTTCATTATTAAGATTTCCCAGAAACTTCTTACAGTTTTATAATGGAAAAAAAAAGAATATAATTTTTTGACTCTTGTGCAAAATGAAGTAAATATATTCAGAATTATAAAATTAACACTTTAGTTCAGAAATACTGTTAAGTCTTTGGAATCCGATAGATCCAAGTCTACCATGTTTTCAATGTATATTTTAGACTCTTCACGGAGTTCTTTCTGAATAAGCTTCCTTTCCTGACACTTGAATGAACATTAAAACTCCAGTGTATTTCTTCAACTGTGGTTAACTTATCACAGAGCAAACATCATCCAGGGGCAGGGGTACTAAGGAGAACTCATTTTTCCAATAAATTTATCCTGAAACCATGGTTAAAAAAAAATAAAACAAAAACAAACAAACAAAAAAAGCACATTGCTGAGTTGGGAGTTCAGCAGAGGTACCATTCCACCATTGGAATAAACTGCACAGATTTGTGTTACTCATTTTTTATTGTGTTTTCTTGGAAAGATGATAAAGCCCTTTTTCTTTTAAGTATAAACAGTGCCTTGAGATTTAGTCGCACGAGGATGAAGCATCTTTCCAATAGTGATTTTCTTTAATTGTTAAACTTCCCAGTGTGCTCTCGGGCTATGATGAGCCTCTGAATCCTTCAGTTTTTAAACTTCCCAATGTGCTCACGGGCTATGATCAGCCTCTGGATCTGTGCAGTGCCTTCATAAATCTGAAGGAAAAATACAACTTGGTTTAAACACCTGGACTCATTCGGTATCTCAGACAACAGTCTAAGTTCTACTGTGCAACCAAACTGAAATGTTATTTTATGAGAACAGTTTAAGTCATAAACATTTATTTTACAAACTTGGGAGGCAGGCTTAAAAGATCAAAGAAAATGATGTTTCTATTTCGACATGTTTGGGGAATCTAAGGTTTAGTGTTACAGAGCATTTACTATCTGACTTTTCTGAGCTGTTTTTAGTTATGCCCTTTGTCGCCCTCTGTTCTTACTATTAAGCATGCTGCTAAGGAACTGTGAAAAAAATCAAGATATTGGAGGCTTTGGGCTTTAATTCCTGGTAATGCATCCCATTCCCAATCTAAGCTTCCAATCTCAGCTACTTGTTAATTCACTCCTGGGAGCGAGAGGAATTTGAGATGGCGCAGGGTCTGGGACGGGAGAACTGATATCTCTCCAAAGATTGGTGACTTCAGACAGGATGCAAGCTCGCTGCTCACATCTCCTGTTTAAATAAAAAGGCTGGCCTGTAGGCAGACAAAACTCTGAATAATTACATTTATGTATGGGTGTGTACCACATGCATGCCTGGTCAGGCGTGCGAAGGCCAGAAGAGAGCCCAGGAGCCCCGGAACTGTTGATACAGATGGTTTATGAGCCAACATGTGGGTGCTGGGAAGGGAGTCACACCCCAGACCCCCTGCAAGAGCTGTGAGTGCTCTTGATGCTGAGCTGCCTCTCCAGCCCCTCATTTTCAGGGTGGATAGTGTTAGAATTCTTCAGCATTTCTTTTTCTAGGGCTAATGACACAAGACTTTTCTGTTGTATGATAATTAGGTTCAGAAAAGGCAGACATGGAAAGAAAATGAAAAATACTGGATAATCCCAATGAAAAACAAAACAAACAAAAACTGCTTGCAAGCAACAACCATCAATAACAAAAACTAGACCAGTTGCCCATGTCTTACTCAGGCAGTCCGCCTTGGCCTCTCCAGTGAGAAGATTTGCCAAGGCATCTGCTGGGGGTGTGCAGAACAAGGCAGGGGTGTTAAGAACCATGGGCTATAACTAACCCACGATGGAGAACACGAACATTTCTATCTTTTTTATGAAGCCAGTCTACCTTTATAATCGTCAAATATCACTTCCAAAGGACACATGGCCTTTGACTCTTAAGTATGGTTCAATCAATTAAAAACAAATGCCAGGCAACATTCAAGACAAGACAATTTTAAAAGGCATGCATACTCTTCAGAGGGTAAAAGAGTGCGCACTGTAATTGGTTAAAATCCGAAGACTCAAAGATGGCAGAGTTAGGCAGGTGACACCTGCCTATGCCACTTACTTGGCTAGCCCCTTCCCTCTTAGCAAGCAGCTACACTTAATAAAAACAACATTCTTTTTATGCATCTGACTCATTCCAATCTATAATTATCATTTATTTCACAATGTTTCTTTCTATTTTTTTTTTTTTTAACACGTGTTGTGTAGGTGCATGTGCGCAACCGAATTCACGTGGAACTCACAGGGCAGCTTTTAGGAGTCATTCTCTTTTTACAATGTGGATTCTAGGAATCCAACTCAGGTTGTCAAGCGCCGTGCCAAGGGAGCCACCATTTACCCTCTGAGCCTTAAGCCTGCTATTGTCGTTTAAGATATCCCGTGCCCCCAGGAACAAGACTAGACAGCCTACCTGGTAGATCTTGGCATCCCTCATCAGTTTCTCCACAGGGTATTCTGTGTTGAATCCATAGCCTCCAAAAATCTGCACGGCATCAGCAGCTAACTGATTGGCAATGTCTCCAGCGAAAGCCTTTGCAATGGAGGCATAGTATGTGTTCCGGCGGCCAGAGTCAACCTCCCACGCTGCTCTCTGGTAACTGAGTCTGGCGAGTTCAACCTTCATCGCCATTTCTGCCAGCAGAAATGAAACTGCTTGGTGCTAGATTTAACAGGGAAAACAGGTCAAGGGTAACCATTAGCAGTATTTGGAATATTTTTCTTAAAACTTTCTTGCTTTCTCTTTTTCACTAAATTTGTACTTTCAGAAAAGTTATAGCTAGCTTCCGCTAACAGTAAGACACTCAATACATGAGCACCGTGCAATCGGCAGGGATCTGTAAACTACACAGACCCTAGCCAGATTGGCCAAGTATCCCGCCAAATTCCGTTACCTGTTTCAGGTGACAGACTGATTCTAGCTTTTTCTTTCTTTCTCTTTTGGTTTTCTGAGACAGAGTTTTGCTGTGTACCCTGGCTGTTTTGGAACTCACTGTGTAAACCAGGCTGGCCTCAAACTCAAGACATTTACCTGCTTCTTTTCCACTTTTAAAAAGATGTATTTATGTATTTAACATACATTGGGATTTTGTCTGCATGTGTGTCTGTGTGAGGGTGACAGATCCTCTGCAGCTGGAGTTACAGACAGTTGTGAGCTGTCATGAGGGTGCCGGGAATTGAACCCGGGTCCTTTGGAAGAACAGCCAGTGCTCTTAACCTCTGAGCCTCTCTCTAGGCCCCTCTTTTCTATTTTTAAGACAGTCTTGCTATATAGCTGACATTGATCTTGAACTCACTCAAGACCCACCCACCTTGCTGAAGTTACTGCCTCAGAGAACCTTCCAGACTATGTAGTTCCCATCTTCTGACTTTTGTCCTTTTGAAGACTATTGATTTGTTTTGAAAATTTCTCCTTGATTTGGTTTATCTACTAGTTTCTCATTATTAGAACGTAGTGAATGTGCACAGGTGGTGCTCTTAGTGGCGGCAGCTGAGGGCACATCCTGTCAGAGCCCCCAGGACAGGCCAGCGCAGATGCCTGAGTACTAACACCCACCATGTCTAAATCTCTGCGGAGACTTGTAACACGAGTGTGTGTTTTATCTTTCCAGAGGTAGTTTATACACACAGATGCAAATGTCTCCCATGCTTTTACACACATGCTAGCCTATGAGGATGGTGGTTTCTCATCTAGCTTTTCTTGTCAGCAAATTGTGCACAGTTTTATCGGTGCATGAAGAATTTTCTTAGTTTTTGTAGCTGCACAGACGCCAGCTCTCTTCTTCGACGACTGATCAGTATTTTGGTTATTTCTGTACAATGCTGAGATGAAGAGTAAGTTTGATGATTCACATCATAGCTTAGGGTGTGGCCCATAGTAGGTTCTTTCATTGACTGCTGAAAAGGTTTTATAAAAGCTGCTTCCCTGCAACATATATGTATGACCCATGCTGCCTCTCTGCTTCTGAGTTTGGTAACTCCACCTTATAGGTGTCATTTGGGGACTTAAATGTTGCTCTGTACTCTTTGTAAGTATTTGTTCTATAATGAGCAATCTATCTCCAAAGTAAACGTTCCTGAGGGTAGAAACTGCCAAAGTCTCTCTTCCATACAGAGGAAAGGATCTGTAAGTAAGTGATTATCTGGGTTTAAGTCTTGGTTCTGCCATCTATTAGATGGCCCTGATGTCCTTACATGTCATAAACACAAACGACAGTGCCTACTCCATAGCATGGGGGGGCGGAAGAAAGAAGCCGGGACACGCGGCACACTTGGAACAGAGAAAGCACCCAAAGTGTTTTCATGTAGTAAATATTCAGTGACTGCTAGTTAACTGAGACTAGAGCTAAGGGTTTCTAAGAGAGAGACTCACTCTCACACAGAATGGCTTCCAGTGAGAGAGTAAGGGCCGCACATACAAACCGTGCATGATGTGATGCGGTATCATGGTGTCACAGCGCAGAATGAACCCTGGGGGCAGCTTCATTGAGATCAGTGTGGCAGTGAGTGCAATTCGAGAGGACGGGAAGAGATTAAGGGGAGAGAGCGGCAAAGGACGCTGTGGTTGACACGAGCTCCTACCTGCTTCTCTCGGGAAGCTGCCTGGACTTTGAGACTAAAATGTTAAACAAGAGGGGAATGGAAGAGGGACAGGAAGTGACCTTAGGTTTGGAAATCACCTACAAATGATGAGGAGACATCTTTACATCTTAGCACGGAGCTCAGTTCCGAAGCCAAGGCTAGAAAGAGAACACACCGAAGAGCTAAGAGCAACAGAGTCGGATGAAGCCGGACAGGAAGCCACCTTCCTCCTTTCCAGCTTTACCAGATAAGGGACTGCTATATAAAGGAGTGAGGGAAAGTTACTGCTAACAGAAATAATCACGCAGCCAGGCTGGATGGAATACACGTCTTCCAGCACTCAGGAGGCAAAGATAGGGAGGTGAGTCTCGGTGAGTATGAGACAGCCTGGTCTACATACAGCCCAACCAAGGCTACCAAAAAAGTGTACAGAAGGTACCTTAAATATTAGCCCTTCTTTTTCTTAGAATAATTCATAAGGTGACCAGTTGTGAAGAAAAAAAAATTTTGAGACGGGTTTTTCTGTGTAGCCTTGACTGTCCTGGAACTCATTCTGTAGAGTTTTGAAGTTGCAGAGATCCACCAGCCTCTGACTCTCGAGGGCTGGGATTAAAGGTGTGCACCACCATCTGCCTGGCTGAGAAAAATGTACTCTTACAGGTGATTGTGATGCATTCCCCATTGAGGGATTCTCCCTTAACCTAGAGGCAGGAGGGAGGGCCTAGTCCCTACTCCAAATGACATGACAGATTTAGATGGCCCCTCCTGGAAGGCCTCACCCTCCGGTGGAGTGGGGGGAAGGGATGAGAGGGAGGGAGAGAGGGAACTGGGATCAATATTTAAAATAAGAAAAAATAAACAACAACAACAAAAACCCAACTGATTGTGATGAAACTATAGGATCTTCTTCCAGGCAAAACAGATCATTTTCTTCTTTAAACGTAATTTCTAAATATTTAGATAAAATGAGTGTATTTAAATTTCACCAAAGCAAACACAGTACTAAGATTGCATCCTTAAGAGCTGGGTAGATGGTTGTCAGTAAAATGCTTGCCACATAAGCACAAGACGCTGAGTTCAGATCCCCAGAACCCGTGTGCAAAAGGTACTTACAGAGGTGCCTGACAGGTGTGTTTGCACCAGAGAGGCAGACAGGTAGATCCCTTGAGCTCACTTAAGCTAACTGGGGAGCCCCAGGCCAGTGAGAGACATTGCCTCAACAAAACAAAAACACTAACAGCAGGACCCCAAGGTTGTCCTTGGATCTCCACATAAATGTGCAAATATGTGCACTCACTCATGAGCACGCACACACGCACGCACACACACACACACTCAGAGAGAGTAAAAGATTACCTCTACTAGCAGCTTTCCAAACGTTTTCCTCTCCAGGGCATACTTTGTAGCTTCGTCCAGAGCTCTCTGGGCTAGCCCGACAGCGCCAGCTGCAACCTAGGGTATTAACATTGTGTGATGAAAAAGTTCCCGTTGTCATCAAGCCACACAGTACACCTTAAGATTCTCAGTAGATAAGGGACACAGACAGGAAGTGGCATCACTGCAGCAGGCGAAGAGTATTTGGGTATATTATTTTTTTAATTAAAGGTAATGGCAGGGGCTGGGGATTTGGCTCAGTGGCAGAGTACATGCTTAGCTTCCAGTAGGCCCTGAATTCATCAACACTGCTGTGCAATAATAAACAGCCTCGTTCGAGGCCCAGGCTCACAGCCGTGAGAAAAGTCATTTCTGTGTAACTGGGCCTGCACAGACACATTCTAAGTGAGCCGTAGAGTACGTGGTCATTCACAATCAACAAGAACGATCAAGTTAGGGTGAGCAGACAGCCATTTTATATCCACTAAATTAGCTACCATACAAGCAGCAAAAGAAGTTGAAATGTACATTGTACAAGTAACAATCTCCCCTCCACCACCATTACTAAAAAGTAGAGGCATGTAATGTTAAAATAACCTACTCACTCAAAGCCACACAACAGGTCCTACAGCAGTGATGAACTTACTGTAGGTCTGGTCCTATCGAAAGCCCCCATTGCAATCTTGAAGCCAGCTCCTTCAGCGATCAAGACATTTTCCTTAGGCACTCTGACATCTTCAAAGGAGATTCCTCTCGTATCAGAGCACCGCTGGCCCATGTTTAATTCCTAGCAAGAAGATCATGTACGTAAGAAACGTTTAGGCGTTACGGCACTGTTGCTGCCAATCCTTTGTGACTTTTTGCAGTTACCCAAAGCAGGGGCCACAACACAGGGCCCGCAGTAGCTGTTCCCCGAAACATACCCATCTCTGCTCATCTTGTGTGGCTGTCCTGACGGTACAATGGCAGAGCAGAGCTGTGTGTGTGACACCTTGCTTGTACAAATAAAGCCTGTCTGAAGGTCAGAGAATGGAGCTTGCCACTAGCCAACCATAGAGGTCTGTACTCACAGACAGGAAGTGGGGTAGCTGGGCAGAAGCAGAATATAAACAAGGAGAAACAGGAACTGTCTCTCCTGTCTGCTGAGACACTAAGGAGGTGAGGTGTGGAGGTAGCTTGCTCCTTCTCTCTGATCTCTCAGTATTTTTCCCTACATCTGACTCTGGGTTTTTATTACTCAGACCAATTAAGAACTCCATATACATTCTGATGCCCAATGAGGGGCTTGAACCCACAACCCTGAGATTAAAAGTCTCATTATGTTAGTTAGGTTTTCTGGATATACAGAGATATATTTTAAGTGATTAGGCATTCTTCAGAACCTTTCAAAGACCTTCAGAATATGGCACTTAAAATGGTTTATTAGGATTTTCATTAAAAAAAGAGACAGAACTATTCCTGGCAATACCAATTAAGTCAGAGAGGAATATGACAAAGAAGAAACTCGTTATGGAGTCTGCCTTCGACATGGCAAGGTTAGTCATTTGGGCAAGAAACTGCCCTTGCCTGGACTGTTTGACTGTATGTTATACAAACTGGACATGCGGGACCCTCAGCAAAGTGACTGCTGAACTTGCAAACAAGACGGGTTCCTGCTTCATGGAAGAGTCTGCCAGACAATCTGCAGGACACAGAAAAATGACTGACAAACTGCCAATACAGGCAGGACAGTTTCAAATTCCCTGCTTTGCTGAGGAGTCTGCCAGGCACTCTAGGCCTATAGGCTGAAGATGGATGCCCCAATGTTACAGAGAAACTTTGGGTGACTGTCCAGGCAGTGAGAAGTTTCTGTCAGTTCTAGAGTTTATATACCATCCTTCTGAGGTCTTTGATGGAATTGGAGACAGATAGTTATGGTTATGGTTTTCATTAGTTATGATAAAAGATAAGTTACATGTAAGACTTTAGACTCACAAAGATAGGTGATAGAATATTTTCTTTCAATTTTGCCAAACATTAATGAACTAAATATTCTTAACTATTTTGTTATATCTACTTTAACTATGTTAAACTTTTTTTTATTTAGACAGAAAATGCCCTTCTGTATGCTATGGATATGTTTCTCTTATTGCTTGATGAATGACACTGATTGGCCAGGAAGTATAGGTGGTGCTAGCAGACTAGGAGGATTCTGGGAAGAGGACGGCAGAGGGGAGCAGCTAGGGAGATGCCATGTAGCCGCCTAGGGAGCAGCATGCTGGGACAATATGGGTAAGCCACAGCCTCATGGCAATACACAGTTTAATAGAAATGGTGAATTTTAGAGAGCTAGTCAGTGAGAAGACAAACATTTTATAATTAACAAGTCTCTGTGTGCTTACTTGGGATCAGGTGGGGCAGAAAGTTCCTCCCCAGGCCTGCAAAGACTCACGTGTTTCTAACCCGGTTCTTTCTAGAGACAGGTGCCAGCGCCTGGCCAAGAAGAGTATTTAACAAGCTGGAAACAGGGCCAGCCCGAAGTTCTGTATGACAACCAATCATTATACATGTCTGCAAGCTACCATTTCTCTATCTGTTAAATTATTTTACAGACATGATCCTAGAGCCTGTAATCACTAGCAAAGTGATCTATTGAACAAAATATGGATTTCGCTTTCCTATTTTCTGGGGAGGCATTGATTTACTTTTTATGCTGTGGGGAAGCAGGAGTCTGGCAGTGTATAGAACTGGGTCTTTTACAAGCAAAGTAAATTATAATAATGCATGGTTTGTAAATTAGCAGCAGTGAAAGGTTAGAATATAGAACAAGGTCAGGTCTGGTGGCCCACACCTTTAATCCCAGTGTCAGGAGGCAGAGGCAGGTGGATCTCTGTGAGTGTGAGGCCAGCCTGGTCTACACAGTGAGCCCAGGACAGACGGAACTACAGAGTGAGAACTTGGTCTCAAAAAAACTGAAACACAAAAAAGTCAAAATATTTCTAGTCTAAGATGAGTCTACATCTCATAACACAGAATTTCTAATACAAAGGAAATGTTTTAACTATGTGACTCTCACTCATTTACAAGTGGCTATTTGTTTAAAGTAACATTTTAGGAGCTAAGTAGCTAATAACAAAAGTATCTACACCTCTCACTAGAAAGCAAGTCCCCAGGTATGGAGATTTTTTTTCAGTACCTAACGTACAACCTGCATTCAGTAATAAATATTGACTCCGTTGGAGTCTTCCTAAGTGAGAATGAGAGGCAGTATCAACTGTCATACCAGCTTACTACTGGTGAAGCTCAAGTTGTGAGGGTCTTTCACTTAGCTGAGATGAGACAGACTTAGCCCCGAGTCTGCCAGGAACCATCTCTAAGTGGGAAATCATGATCCCCCCCCCCCACACCAATCTCTGGGGAGAAGTATGACTACCCACAATGCTTACACTATGTTATATGCATGGTGTTAGTCTATCTGCGAAGTGCAGTCTGCCTTCAATATCTTCTCTTAAAAATACAGCATAATATGGCATCAGAAATTGTACAGGTTAAAATCGTTACTAAAAGATACAACGTCACTCAGCCTCTGCTGTTGTAAATCATTTACTTGGACCTTGGTTTCTGTAGTCAGTGAACAGGCTGGAGTAAACAGCATGTGGGGGGCTCAGCCTTCAAACTTCTATGAGCTAAAAGAGAAGTCCCGTCCTTGCCTCCTTTTTTGAGACAGAGTCTCAGCTGGCCTAGAACTTGTGACTCTGCTGCCTCAGCCCCCGAGTACTGGGAATTGAAGGCATGCACTACCTTACCTGGCGGATGTGGTCGGTTATTTGTACACTGTGTGGAGATGTACCACTGTGATTGGTTTAATGAAGAGCTGAATGGCCCACAGCTAGGCAGGAAGGGGTTAGGAGGGACTCTGGGGGACAGAGAGGACTCTGGGAAGAAGAAAGGCAGAGTCACCAGCAGACTCGGAGGAAGTCGGCGGTACAGAACAAAGGAAAGGTAAAAAGCCATGTGGTTGAATGTATATTAAAAGATGTGGGTTAATTTAAGTTATAAGAGTTAGTTAGAGACAAGCCTAAGCTAAGGCTGAATATTCACAATTAATATTAAGTCTCTGTGACATTATTTGGGAGCTTGTTGGAGGGATAGAAAAAGACTCATTACAGGCAGAAGTTATAAACATTTACATACTCAACACATTTCTAAAGAGAGGTGGACACAATAGCAGATTCAATAAACACAGAAAGTTGTCTAAGAAATCTGTTTTACATTAACCATCAATTCAAATCTGTTTTTCCCGTTCAGCCTAAGGAAACCAGCTCCAACATCTGAGGGGGTGATCCTAACCTTCCCTCACAGGGAGGAAGGCAGTTTGCTCAGGTACCCTTCCGGACTCTGGCTTGACTTCCACAATCCCGGCTTTGCTCCCGACCCCCTCATTCATCAACAGTTTTCTTCGGAAATTCCACTCCGCTAAAGCATCTCCTTCCGTCATCATCTGAAGCCACGTTTGTAAGCTCTCAGCAGGACTTCTGATGACACCCATTTCCTTTGTCTTCTACACTCTGTATCTGCAAACATTGAGGCTGGTGTCCAGACACGCCATTGCTTTCTTATTTCACATACCCAACACTAACTGACATCCTCTTGTTTCCAAGGTACAGCTGCTTCTGTTAATGCTGTGGGATGCTGGGTAATCCATTACATCATGTGACTTTAAAGGTCCTAACCAAAGCTTGTGCACGTTCACTGGGAAGGAGAATTCTGAGAATTCTAAACTCTATGGACAGGCATCAATCAATGAAGCTGGGCTTCTGTCCACAGCTACAGCGGTCATGAATGTGTTCTGCACAGAGGACTCATCTTTCAAAATGACTTGAAAGATTTTCAGTGACACATAAACTGTGTTCCCAATATCGTCAAGACACAACTTAAAAGTATTTTCATTAAAGGAAACAAAGAAGAAATTTGATATTTACAGCTGAAATTTCACTTACAGACGCAATTGTTAAGAGAGATGGCGTTTACCTTTTTTCCAATATGTATTCCTGGCGTGTCAGCTTCCACAATGAATCCAGTAAAGGCTTTACTAGGAGGCACTTTAGGATCCGGGTCAGAACGTGCCAATAAAAAATACCTAAGGCACACAAACCCACAACGTTGGCGATATGAATAACACACACTGATTAGTGTCTCAGCTGCCTCCAACACCCCAGCATTACTAACCCCACTTAACAGGAAAGGAAATGAATTTGCACAGATACCCCTTTTCAGCCATCCACTTCTCTACTAATGTGGCATTAACTTTAGGGTGAATGTGAGCCATCAGTAAAAATCCCTTGGGCAAAGACAATCTGAGAGAATGTGTGTGAGGAGCTGGAGTGTTCCCCTCTGAGCCAGTCTGTTTCACAGGACAAGCCATCTGTACAATGCACAGGCAGGGCTCTGGCTGCTGTGACGGGTGGTACCGTATGCAGGGAAGCCGCTGTGTCTCAGTTACTAGGGATATTCACAGGTTTTCACGTAGAAAGATTTCCACAGAAATATTTAGAAATACAGCACAGGAGGGGATAAAGAGAAAGCAAGTTCTGTGACCCCCACATCCAAACTAGGCTTCCTGACAGATTTTTTTTTTTTTTTTTTTTTTTTTGAAAAGGACGGAAAGCCATGCAGCTTGAGTCCAAGCTGAGCCTTGGACTAGTCAGTCCTAGCACTGAAAGAGTGATTGAGTGTTTTATTCTTCCTTAAACAATGAATTAATTTTATGCTGAAAACCCCAGTAATTTATCAGTTTATCACTGGGTATGGTTTTATTTGATAATAGGAAAAGACAAAATTATTTTGTAATTTCATGACTCAGTGAACTTGCCATTCCCAGAAAGAATTATAATCGGGTCTTAAAACAGTGATTTTTCAATTACATTATTATATTTCTCCTAGCTTGTTCAATTGTCATGGCTTTTTTACCTCCTTATTACATGCTGATGTGAGGATACTAAATGATGCTGTCATTAACTGATACTGATCAGGATGCTGAGTTTATATAGTCTGGGCCCATCTAGGGTACTCAGAAGGGACTGGTAAATATTTAGAATAAACATTTCCCTGATTCCTATCCCAGCTCTGATGCCTGTGCACGGTAATTGTGAGCTGCCCATTCCACCATGGTGGAATGTTTTTCCACGCTGCACATCACACATGCACAGTGTAGAACCTTTCCAGAGTCATCTGGGCCGGGTCAGATCTGTAATCCTAGCATTCTGTAGTCTTAAGGCAGGAAGATAGATCATCGTGAGTTTGAGTTCAGACTATGCTCCACAGAGATTTCTAGACTAGCCTGAGCTACAGAGTGAAACTGTGTCAAAAACAAAAACAAAGAATTACCACCCTAATCGTCTACCATAGTTTGGATGAGAACGGTCCCATAGGCTTACATATCTGAATGCTTATTCACCAGGGAGTAGACCTGTTTGAGAAGGGTTAGGAGGTGTGGCCTTATTGGATAAGGTGTGGCCTTGCTGGAGGAAGGGTGTCACCGGGTTTCAGAGCCGATTCCAGGCCCAGGGTCTCCCTTTCTTTCTTCCTGCTGTCTGTAGGTCAGAGTGCGAGGCTTGCAGCTACTGCTCCAACACGATTCCTGTCTGCTCCCCACCGTGGTGGTCATGGACTAACCTTCTAAAAATGTAAGCAAGCCCCCAGTTGAACGCTTTCTTCTGCAAGGGCTGCCTTGCTCATGGTGTCTCTTACCAGCAGCAGAGCAGTGACTAAGACATCCCCCAAACCCTGCCTAAGAAGTCTTCTGTCAAGTACTTACAGTCATGGGTAAGACCCTGCCTTCCAAGGCAAGGCCTACAGGCCCTATACTGGGAAGACTGTCCTTATAATGAGCTACAGTTGTATTTTTCTAACTTTTGTTCATTGGTTCCTAACTGTCCTCCTGAAGTAACCATGGAAGCCTACTCCATTTGCTCTTAGTCAGAAGGTCAGGAAGGTATCTGTCTATCCGTCAGTCTACCATCTGTCTAACTTTGAGTCTCACTGTAGCCTGCACTGGCCTTGAACGTTTCTATCCCTACCTGTCCCCCAAGCACGGGGGCTCAAGGCCTGTGCTACTGTATGTAACTGCTCCTCTTTCCATGAAATATTATTCCAAAATTTAAATTCTAACCGTATTCCAAAACCAGATAAAATGTTTCTAAGCATGTTCTAGATCTAAGCATGTTCCAGAGTCTCCCCCTAACTTGACAGCTCCTGGATGTCCTTTTTGTCAAGACTTGTCTCAACTGCGCTCACCCCGGTTAGTGGTACACATGTTTCCTCAGTCTGAAATCACTGTACTGCTACAGTGCATCTCCGGCCCCTCATCTGCCAATCCCATCAAACTTACAGTTGTTTACTAAACGTTCTTCTTTAACAAATGATCAGATACTTCCTATGTTTATGGGAATGATTTTTCATGTTTAATGGGATTTTTGTCCTTGTGTTAAGACCTATACATTTTGGAAGTTTTAGATGTTACTAACATCAAATACTGCCTGCTTTTGTGCATAAAAAGAAGCTTTTATTGTAATTTTTTGAGATGGTCATGTAGCCCAGACTGGCTTGAACTTGCCAAGTTGCTGAAGATAAACTTGAACTCTTCCTGATTCTTTGCTCCAAGGACTAGAAATATGGGTTTGTTCTTATGACTCAAGTGTTTTGTCATCTAGCTATATATCTACCATCTATCTATCTATCTATCATCCATCTATCTATCTACTTATCTACCTATCTTCTCTCTTCTCTTGTCATCTGTCTATATAAATCTATCAACTATCTATTATCTATATCTATATTCATCATCACCTGTCATCTATCATCTATCTGTCTATCTATCTATCTATCTATCTATCTATCTATCTATCTATCTATCTATCTATCTATCTGAGACAGGGTTTCTCTGTGCACTAGTCCTGGCTATCCTGTAACTCACTGTGTAGACCAGTCTGGCCTTGAACTCATTGAGATCCGCCTGCTTCTGCCTCCTGAGTGCTGGAATTAATGGTGTGCACCACTGCCAGGCTGAGTCAAGCTTTAAGAATGGCTCTGTTGGGGATGGGTACCATGTATAGTGCTGGCCTGGTATTCACAAAGCTCCAGGTTCAACCCCAGAAGCACAAATCCACCGAGAACCAGACATCCTACAAATAGCTTTCTGTTTGCTGAGAGTTTTAGGGTTCCGGGAAGTCCTAGTGTAGGAAATGAGGTGGTGGGACTAAAGTCTAATGGACAGATTAAGTAAGATTAGCTATTTTCACTGCACTTTCCACGCTAGAGTCCTTAAATTGATCTGTAAGAAATAGCTCAGGGGCTTAAAATGGTTACTGAGCCACTGAGTTATTTATAATGTCGGATGAACCTTCCAGCTTCAAAACTCTGGCTTGCTCTACCTGAGAGGCTCAGAAATAAAAGAAAAAGGGAAGAATCAAGAGACAGCAGTTAGGAACCGTACCAGTTTGCCTTCCCTCCGTTGGTTATCCACATCTTCTGGCCATTGATGATATATTCATCACCCTTCTTTTCTGCTCTGGTCTTAATACCAGCCACGTCAGAGCCTGCTGAGGGCTCTGTAACACAGTAGGCCTTGAACATATGGACATAAGGAAATAAACATCACTTGTTGCATTCTGAGTATCTGGTAATAGCGTCACTTTGCTTGTGTGGTGGTGTTAGGGTAGAGCCCAGGTTCTCAAGTGTGGTAAGCAAGTGTTCTACCAGCGAACTGTATCCTAGCAAGAGCCTAACATAGACTAATATAAATGAGTTATAAGAATTGGTTAAAAAACAAGCCTAAGCGGGCTGGGGAGATGGCTCAGAAGCTAGAGCCCTGGCTGCTCGTCCAGAAGTTCAGTTCCCACATGGTGGCTCACAACCTTCTGCAGTGAGATCTATGCCCTCTCCTGGTGTGCAGACACACAAGTGGACAGAGCACTTGTATAAAATAAAACAAAACAGAACAAGCCTAAGTTAAGGCCAAGCCTTCATAACTAATGATAAGTCTCTGTGTCTTTATTTGGGAGCTAGTGGGACAGAGACTCATCATAGTTCTCAGAAAACCAAATAAATTGCTCAAATGTTAAAATATTTAATATGTAAATTAAAATTAGGTAAAGGATATCAATAAATTATAGGAGATATTAAAATATTAGTTATATTTGAAAATTTTATTGAGTTCAACTTTCTATAAACTGATTTGTGTGGATATTCATTGAGTAGCTACCAAGGTTTTCACAGGGTATTAAGCACCTGGACGTGGGAAACCAGCTTCTCTGAGATGATGCTTAAATCAGGTCTCAAGCAGAGAGGCTACTGTGGGAAGGGGAAAGGAGAGCGTGTACTCTGCAGCAGAGGTAACTGTGTGAGATGAGGGTGAGAAACGGGACAGGGCTGCGGACAGAGCCTGGTGTGCACGAGGCCCTGGGTTCGATCCCAGGCCCCACATAAGCTGGGTCCCCTGCCTGTAGACCCAGCCCTGGGAAGACAGGAGCAGGAGGAACAGGCAGAGCCTACTCACACACATCATTGGCTGCTCTGTCATTCTCCCCAAATACTTCTTCTTTTGTTGGTCATTTCCAGCAAGAATCACAGGCATTTGCTACCAAGGAAAATTAATATTAGAACAGCAAACTATTTTATTAGTTATGCAGCCTCAGAAACAGAATTCCACAATATAAAAAAAGAACTGCCTGCCTCCCCGGAGGGAGTAAATTCAGAGAATTGGCATTCACTATGAACTAAAAGGCCAATAAGCAAGAAGACTGCCTTAAGGTGTAGGCAGGCTTGCTGGTGATATACAGGGACTGGCTACAGTTAAGATGCCCGCAGGGTAAATCTAGGATATGACAGGGAGCGTGTGAGCAGACGCTAGGTAGGTAGCAGGCCAACACGGTGGCTTCTGACCGATTCAGCCCTTGCCCTTGTCCCAAGAACTCCCGTGGACGCTGTAGCCAAAGTGCAGTTTCCTCACAAGGACACCCACCTAGAACTCCAGTCCCGGACACAACAGAACCACCATGACCAATCTGTGCACGTGTATCTCCAAGCCAGGCTAGCAAACCTTCCTGACGGTGTTTTGCAGAGTTTAACCTAACTTCACAATTAATGACTCATTAACAGCCCAGGCAAACAAATTAACATTCTATTAAATTATAATTTTACTTAGTTTTACCCACTGAGTCATCTCACAGGGCCCATTGTAAATTGTTTTCTTAGTAACATACCCCCAGCGAGTTTGCTTCAATGGCAGTTTGCACCCCTGTACATCCATACGCCAACTCTTCGGTAATCAAACAAGCATCAAAAGTCCCCAGTCCAAGACCGCCTGCGGCATCACAGTGTGAGCGGAGCATTGGAATGAGAAGAAGTCAGTAAACGTAAACGGAAAATGCCTGCCTTCTGTGCTGGGGAAAGCCTCCCCAAAGCAGACAAATACCATGTCCTCTAAACAGGGAGATAAAGGCGGAAAGCCACTGGCTGACAACAAACATTTTAGACAATGACAGAATTTCCACTTTTTTTTTTTTAAATTTCAGCCCTAAAAATGTGAAGGACGCTTACCACAGTTCTCCGGAATGTGTGCATTGATCAAGCCAAGTTCCCAGGCTCTTTTAATTAGCGGGAACGGGTACTAAAAGGAACAGGAACACAGTGGTACTATACCCAATGGTGGCATGATCTCATAATAGCATAAGACTTTTCTCTCTGCCAGGTGATACCCACTTCTCCGGTCCTGTCATATTCCGCAGCGACTGGGATTATTTCCTCTCTGGCAAACTTCCGAGCTGTTGTTTGAAATTCTTTCTGCTGTTCAGTCAGCTCTAAAGGAAATTATGTTGAGCATATCAAAAAAGAGAAAATCAAGTTGAACGAAGAATCCCCATGAAGTTAGTTAGCATGTGGAGATTTATATTTATCATAAGACACACTTCTGACCCGAGGAAGCAGCTTAAATAAACAAGGCGCACTCTGTCCGCATACAGCAATAAAACATGTTCCAAAGAAGAACATATATGAGTTCCCACAAATAAACTGGTAAAAGCAATGAGAAATTTCTCCAAAATAATATTAACGGCCACACAAAACCCTCTGTGTTACTAACAGGCAACATTCAAACAATCCAGTCACACAAAATAAAAGTAGTTATTGTGAAATTAATGGGATGACTATGTTTTCCGGACACCCAGAGTTAAGTGTGGATTGATAACTGCATTTTTGTAGACCTGTGCTGTCTAGTGTTTCAGTGTGGGTGCACCAGTGTGAGAAACGAGGCTGGAGTGTGGCTCCGGGAGTGACTGCTGCTCCTGTGTGAGGTCCTGGGTCCCACCCCCTCCCCCTCACGTGGGTGGTGGTGTTAAAGGTGGTGTTGTGTACTTCAGGCAATTAGAGTAAGAACCAAAGCCCAGAAGAATGAGCCAGGTGGGGTGGGAACTAAGTCTGAGGAGGGGGCTGGGAGAGCGCTCTTGCTTGCAGCACAGGGACAGGAGAACTTCCGGAGGCATCCTTGGGACCAGGAACCTGCTGGTGTTCACCTGTCTATGCTGTGAGTTATTTCTCCCTGAATAAACATCTATTCGGCCTAATTGTTTCTCCTGATCCTTATTAAACCGCAATGGAAAGGTATCTAGCATTGTGCTGTTTGTTGGCAAACTGCTTTCACACCCACAATAATCTTCAAAGACATCCTGTTGCAGACATTACGTCCACTTTATTCATGAGAACCAGACTGACTGGCCTGATGTGTTATCTGTACTTCGGTCAGAGCCTCACAAGCTCCCTCCTAAATACCTCTCTTCGCAGGCTTCGCCATCTTGCTAGCGCTAATATGTAGGAGTTTGTCTGTAAAGAGCTGAGAATACATAGCAGAGCTATTATCTTCAAATGCCCACTGATCCAATCTGCTGTCTTCATACCATTTGAAAATTCCTTAATTCTGATTAACATGTATGTATGTATGTATGTGTGTGTGTGTGTATATATATATATGTATACACACACACACACACACACACACACACACACACACACCCATTAGCAATAGAAAGCTACCTGGAGGAAAGGTACAAATCTGAAGTAAAAGACCTTTAGGGGGCAAAGGGCACCAAAATAGGATATTTCTCACATATTTTACTTCAGTGTTTCATTTTATAAAAAGGAAAGAAAAATCTTGCTTCTTTTCTTTCTAATACCATATTGCTTCCTGGCCTTGGGTCTGAGAGTGTCAATAATACCATCACACTGTAGCTCAGATAAATCAGGCCAGCTCCCCCCCCCCCCCAACCAGGCTTATTACAGCATCCAGCGTTGAATAGAACAAGTGTTGTGAACAGTGTTTGTAGCCAGGCGTGGTTGCCCGCACCTTTAATCTCAGTCCTAGGGAGGGAGAGGCCAGGGGATATTTGAGAGTTCCAGGCCTGCCTGCCTATCTACAGAGAATTCCAGTCCAGCCAGAAAAAGAAAGTACTTGTTGCATTTAATTTCTAGGTGTGTATTGGTAGATACTCATTTGTTTGAGCTATCCACTTGGGGAGAAGAGGACGGCTACACACAGCCTGTCAACACTGTAGGATGTACAGGTGTGTCCGAAAGCATGACGCAGCGTAACACGTGTGAAGAGCCGCGAACTATCCGTGTGTGGGTGGTGAGTGGCTCCACCCATCGACAGACACCGTGTTTCCAAACATATATTTTTCAAGTCAAAGGACAGGACATAACACATACCAAAATTAAAGCCCAATCCCGGCTCCTGCTTGAGAGACGCCTTCGTGTGTTGGGCTCGCCACTCAAAGTGAGGAAGACTTCTTAGGATCTGGAAAAGATGTGTGTACCGCAAGTAAGTAAGTCTGACAGGCTGAGCATCAGTCAAACGGAAGAATGCTGGCTAGGCCACCCGGGGGACACAGGGAGTAAACACACTGCCCTGATAGACTCAGGACCTGAGATTAACCCGGGAGCCACACGGTGGGAGAAAACTTATTCCCACTGTTGTCCTCCAGCCTCCGCGCACCCTGAGAGTCCCATACAGACATAAATTGTGAAAACCGACCATCCAAAATGAGCACAGCATCTATATGTCACATTCGAGAGCTATGTTTTCATAGTCAGTAACTAAATATTTAAAGTCAATTACAAGCTAGATGGATACCTATCCATGAAGAAAATGTTATTTAATAGTGTTTTATTTTCACTTGTGTGTTTGTCTACATATGCGTAGGATATCTAAAAAGGCCAGAGGAGGGTGTGGGATCCCCTGGAGTTGGAGTTATAGACAGTTGTGAGCCAACCAACATCAGTGCTGGGAAGCAAACCTAGGCCCTATTCATATACTGAAAAACAACAACAAACAAACAAGAAAACAAACCATAATCCGTTGTGTGTGTGTGTGTGTCCCTGAAGGCAGTTTTTTTTTGTTACTGTTACGTTTGTTTTATTTTTAAGACCAGGCCTCCCTGTGTAGCCATAACTGACCTGGTAACTCACTCTGTAGACCAGGCTGGCTGGCCTTGAACCTCCAGAGATCCACCTGCCTCTGCCTCCCAAGTGCAGGGTTAAAGGAGTGTGCCAACACTCCAGGTATTTGTTTTAGGACAAATTCTTTTGAGGTCGTTCAGGATGGCCCCAGCCTGTGGAATCCAGGCTGGCCTTGGCATCCCAATTCTGAGGTTAGATAAAGAACCACTCTACAAAACTAGAGTGGAGCCCACTGCTGGGCTGGTTAAATACTGATATTAGTCATTTAGTTAGAGTAGCTTAACACACAGGCCTCTCATTGGTTGTTCTGGGTGAGTGTGTGTGTGTGTGTGTGTGTGTGTGTGTGTGTGTGTGTGTTGGTATCTTAGTAGAAACTGAGTAAACAACACAGGGTTAAGAAGTTAGTGTTGCAACACTGAATCCAAGTTCTCCAAATGTCAGTCTAGGTCTAGGAACAGTTCCAAGTACACAACTTGTATTCAGACCTGTAAAATAGGGCTCACTAATCCTAGTGGATTTGTGGAGATGAAGGTAGGTAGCAGTGTTTGGAATGAAGGGGAGAAGCTGTGCGCTCTGTGCCAGCCCTGACATAAACAGGCAACATATTCCATGTTCTGAAATTCTAGTCATAATGTTGTGCTTAAATTATTCCTGGCTCTCTGCCAAAAGCAGCAGAATTCCACTTAATGGGACGGTAACTTTAGGTCTCAAATCTGCAACAATAGCACAACTAAATAACGAATTTCTTAGACATTTAAGTCTGGGTTTACAGCAAGCAGTGTGGGAAAACAGATAAAGAAATATGCATTTTATGATTAGTTATGGGGTTGCACTTTCCTTCATTTGCCCTTGGAGGAACCAAGAAGCCTCTTCTAGTTCCGTTGTCAGAATTAAAACTAAAAAAAAAAAAAAACCCTGCAGTTTCTGTCTTCAGAGTCTCTTAACTTACATCGCAATGGTGGGGGAAGGAGGAGAGATCAATCGATACTATAACAGAAACCATTGTAAGTTCTAAAACTACATCTTTTGGGGTCAAAGGCAATTTTAATCCAGTTTTAAGTGGCAGAAACGGAAGTCTTCTACGAATACGTCGATAACAGTTAAGATACTAGTGACTAGAACAGACTTTAGAGGACAAAACGCTGGAGTGTACAGACAGCCTTCGCGAAGGTTCTTCCGTAGGATCTCGTGTGTGTGTGTGAGTGTGTGTGTGTGAGTGTGTGTGTGTGAGCGTGTGTGTGAGTGCATGTGTGTGTGAGTGTGTGTGAGTGTGTGTGTGTGGTGTGTGTGTGTGCGTGTGAGTGTGTGTGTGTGCGTGTGTGCGTGTGTGTGTGTGTTTTGGAAGCGTGCCGGTCCATTACAAAACCGCAGGCGTTCCAAACCTCCCCGGCGGGCAGCGGCCGCGTCCCCAGCCTCCAGCAGGATTAGCTCTGTGCTGTGCACACTCCCAGGATCAGCCAGCCGGTTGGGACCCTAACACCTGCGCACACCCGAAGCCGCAGAGCGACAGTTTTCTGAAGCACCCCCGCCAGAGCAGGGGGCCCCGGGTGCCCCCCGATTCGGGCAGGGAGGACAAGGGAGAGGAGTAGCCGCAGGCCCCCGCGCACCCCCGCGCGCCCCGCTCACCCCGCAGCCTCTGCGGAACGCCGCAGCCATGCTGACTCCTCGCTCGGCCGGGTCCGACCTCCGCACAGCAGGGAGCGCGCGGCCCGGGTCCCGCCCATGGGGGCGGGCGTGGAGCCCGGGGCGGGGCCGCACGGGGCGGGGCCCTGGCGGCAGGGCGGGGTCGCGGCACCGGGCGACGCGTCGGTCTTGGCTTTGGAGGGGCGTGGCCCCGGGGCGTGGCTAGGGCCGCGGATTCGGGGGTGTTAGGAAGATTCTGGGGTCTCCAGCGGTGCCAGCAAGAGGGAGGCGTCCGGGTTCGCGCGCGCTTGCGCTCTGCACGCGACCTTGTCCCAGGGAAGGGCTGCGAGCGTCCCGCCACCCGAGCGCCCCGAGGTCGCCTTCTCCCGGGATGGCTGGCCCCAGATCCAGGCCAGAGGGCGCAGGCGAGCGGTTACTGCGGTCCACTGTGACCTTTACTCGGACAGTCAGGTCCGGCGGAACCCTTGTACTTCGTGGCTTTAATGTGTACTGTAGCTTCAAACACTGGGCTAGAGCCAGAGGATGCCCGTGCCTCTGAAATTTTAAATAGGAATTTAATTGTTTGCGCAGCTGACGTACGCCCAGTGCCAGGAGACCGAGAAGGAAGATTACCGCCAGTTTGAGGCCAGCCAGAGCTAGGTAGCAAGACCTAACTCCTAAACAAACCAAAGCAGAAGAGCTTCAGTGACTCCTACTTTTCTGAACATGTCCAACGTTACTTACTGTCCATCCACGGAGAGATGGGGATGCATCCTTAGAGACGCAAGCTGAGCCTGTCTAAAAACTCCTCTGCCAGTGAACATTGGGAGTAAACATCTTGTTCACGAGTTCATCTCAAATCTTCCAGTTGGACCTAGCGTCTGAGATGGTGGCTTGGGGTGTTAAGGGTGTGAGGGATTATAAACTTCTCCATGTTGGGCACCTCAGTTGCCAAAGATTAAGGAAAATATACAGTCACAGTCCTCAAGCCCTCGGCTTCAAATTGGAGACGGGAGCTCCTTTTTGAGCCACAAATGAACGAGGAAAAACTCTCAGCTCCTCTCTGCTTTGCCTGTAGCATTATCACACACACCAAAGTCTGGACTTGGTGGTGTGGATTTCATTGTGAGAAAAATGGTCAGAACTGTAAGATTAGTAATAATAATAGTCTCTTCGGAGAGTCTTCTAATAGTTGCAAGGGAGCGTTCCAGAAAAGGCCTCCCACTGAGTGGTACGCAAGTCTGATTGATTAATTGTTTAACCTCTGAGTGTGGAAAGAATAGTGTTCTAGGTCATCTGATTAACGCCAGATCATCTGATTACTTGTTTAGACCTCCGAATGTGGAGAGATTGGAATGTCCCAGGTCCACAATCAACATTATCTGGACATTTATAGCCCCCCAGTAGCCACTTATTGCCCTCCTGGATGTGGGATCTAACATTTGTGATCACAAGGCAATCTGTCAGCATCTGAAGCCTACAGTGGAGATCCACCTTTTTTCGGTATGTTCCCACCAATGCACTTGAAAGGTATGTTGACATATGTTCTTTGTTCTGTTTCCATTAAAATTGCTACGTCACTGGAACCTGGCATTGTAACCCTGAATTTGTTCTCGGGTGTTTTAGAAGGCAGGCCCTCGCCTCTGGTGCGGTGTGCTCACTTTAGTCTGCACGTACACCAACCCAGGAATACCACAGGTCAGTGTAGCATGCCTTCTAATAGGTCTGAATCATAAAAGCCTAGAATCAGCTATGGGGGGTGGGTGGTGGTGAAATGTCAGAGGGACTAAGGAGCAAGGCACACCCACCTGCAACCCCCTAACTTCCCGGTCAAAAGGAGCCGAGCTCCTGGCTCCTCCCACCTCCTCCACCCAGCCACGTCATTTCCTGTTTGTCTAGTGGCAAGCTCTGTCCTCCTAGTTAATCAGGAGTTAGCCCCAAAGTTAAGGAGACTGACACAAAGAAGCAACCAGATTTCTATCTTTTTGAGCCCAAGTGAAGAGTTGGAGGTTTTGGTTAAGAACAGTTTCTAAGAGCTTAATATGTTGTCTAAGAACTAATTTGTACGTACACCCAACTCTAAATATTTATGTAACACATTGCCTTGTGAGGCCTTTTATCACACTCCTCTGAACACGTATTTCTACTGTCATTTAGCATCCAGTTACAGTCAATATGTGTTATTTCTCCAGCCTTTTACATGTAATGTGTATTCAAACCAGGATTCTATGAGTGTTTTCCTACCTCATGTTGGTTTTAACTTCTTTCTTTAAACATAGTCAATCTCCTCTCAACAATACTGTTTTTTTTTTTTTTAATGATATGTATAGCTGCGTGTTTCTGTGCACATTGAGGCCAAAAGAAGATCTGGCTTCCTGGAACCGGAGTGAGAGGTCATTGGGAGCCACTGGCCGAGTGCGCTGAGGTCCAGGCTCAGGTCATCGGTAAGAGGAGTGCACACTCTTCAGTGCTTAGCCATCTCTTCACCCACTTTTGTTTTCCTTGACGAGACCAAGGCACTTGTCCCGAAACATGCTGGTGTCGTGTATTCATTCTGTGTCTCCAGATCTTGTATTCTCTTTAAGTTGCAAGCTGATAAAGGCTTGAGTACTTCCCATGGCATTCACATTGCTTGTCTCCTGGTGGTGAGTTTAGTTATTTGGCAAAAGTGGATACACGTAGTTCATTCTGTGGCAAAGATTTAGTTTCCCTTGGCTAGTCAGAAGTAACTAATAGGTTTTCTGCCCCGAAAACCAGGTTTCTATATCAGTGCAGTAAGCCAGATCAAGCTGAAGAGTACAACAGGTATATTGAGTAAAGCAGCCCCAAGGAGGATTGACTGGTGTCAGAGAATGAGGCCAGAGAAGTCATGTAAGGTGGGAAGGGTTATAGATTGTAGGCGAGGGGTGAGGATGCGCTCACTACGACCTGGGTTTCCCCCCAAGAATGGTCAAAAGCCCCGCTTCTTATGAGTGCAGTCTTTGCAGGTCTGCAATCGGAGCCAGCTGAGCGGCCCCAGGTCCGTACCTGAGTGGGGGAGTGTGGATGAAGGAAAGGCTAGCTATAGAAGATAAAGAAAGAGAGAGACAGAATAAAGGTCAGGAGGGCAGGTCAGTCAATACTGAAATGCCACGAGTTTATTTTTCACCACTCTTATGTACCTTAACCAAAAGGGGGAACACAGTATCGCGTATACGGAACAGACTTTTCTTCCTCACTTATCCTAAGAGTTCAGTAAGCAACCACACCTTAGCTCCAACTTCTCTTTGCCCAGCCTTGACAGTCAGGAGTAGCCGCACCTCAGATTCAGAGCAGAAACATCCTCCTGTAGCCACACCTTTGACCTTTAGGTCTTGTGACTTGCTGACAGCTTTGAGCTCTCTGCCCTTGTGCCAAGATGGAGTGCAGCCATCTTTACGGGCACCCACACAGCAGGGAGCTGGGGATTTCAAAGGGACAGTAACCACAGAGCTATGTCCCCAGCAAGAGTAATATTTAAATCCAGCTAGATACAAATTGTATGTCTGCAGAAACTCACAATATACCCACAGTGGTAAGGCACTTAGGAATGTGAGCATTCAAGATGGGCCTGGTGACTCAGGCATATGACCCTTGTACTCTGGAGGCATGGGGACCAGTAGGTCAAAGGCGCCCGGCTGTTAAGACCTATAATGCCAGCTAATCATGGGGATGAGTTTGGAGGGTGCCAAGTTCAAGGCCTGGACTACAAGGCAAGTCTGGGCCACTGGACAAGACCTGGTTGTCAAAAATAAAAATTCCAACACAAGCTAGAGTCGTAGCTCACCGGTAGAGTGGCTGTCCAACAGGAATACAGACTTAGGTTCAATTCCCACTAATGCTTAGGAAAGACAGGAAAGAACAGACTGCACCTCCATGCGGTCTGTAGTTTCTGTCACCATTGGTCTTGCCAGTGAAAACCCACGCACATGTTCAGTAACACTGCCCTGAGCACTGGATTTAGATGTTTGGCTCAGTTCCCTGGAGGTGTAATCACCTTGAAGCCAAACATTAGATTTTGGTCCTTTGTGTTTTGTTTTGTTTTGAGATGGGGTTCCATGAAGCCAGGGCTGGCTTTGAACCACTGATTCTGCAGCCTCTGCTTCAGGGCTGCTAGGATTGTAGGCATGTACTATCCACCATGCCTGGTTTGACCCTCTTTTTAAAAGCATGTACAGGTGCAGAAGTTTGAAGTCATCAATTTCTGCAAGTGAGACTGAAGTGTGGATTCAGGATTTGGTTTGGACCACACTGGGGGGAGGGACTGGAATGCCCAGAAAGCAGACTTTACGTCCAGTGAATCTCTGGAGCTAGAAATAAACACAGGGAGGATGGAGTGGGGTCTCTGGGTTCTGGGAACTGAAGGAGAGATAAAGGCAGCACCTGTAGGAGCAGCTCAGACATAGCTTGTTTAGCAAATGCTACCTTCACACAGAATGGGCCTCCAGGAGGTAAAGGTCACCTAGACCTGGAGAGAGAGCACTAAACTTTAGAAAGAGCTAAGAGAGCCGTAGACGCCTACGATCCACTGACTCTGGAATGTAGAACGTCAGATGTTCCAGGTCATCTTCCACACATAGCAAATGTGAGGCCAGCTTGGTATCCCCCTTCCCGCCAAAAAGAATGGACTTGCATATTAAATTCAGCAGGTAAAATTCCCGGGACTCACTAATGTTCCCTACAGTAGTGCAGAAATGACCCAAGCCGGTGAATGTAACTGAAAGGAAAAAATATACAGCCTTGCTTTCCCATGACCATTGGAAATCAGAAGTCTAAAGAATACCCACCAGCATGTATTTGAAATCCACAACAACAGTCTGGGAACTGTTATGGTTCATCCTGTCCACAAACAAAATTAATAACTAAAAGAGACGGGACTCATGGCAAGAAGAGAAAGCCAGAAAGAACAAGTGCTTCTGCCAATAGATACAAATAACTCCCTGACTGGAGAGCACATTCTCCCTGCCCCCCATTATCTTAGGACAAGGCCACTGAGCCCGCTGGTCCTAGAGAAAGAAAACCCCCTAAACTTGCAGGTTCACT